CATTTGAAATATATGAGTTTGTATGTAATGTATGAATATAATATACAAGTTTCAATTTTTAAATGGAATTACTGAAATAAATCTACTTTTTCATGATATTCTAATTTTATGACCAGCACCTGTAAACACTTCCAGTTGACAAACCCTGGAGTTTGTTTATCGTTAAAGCTGCTGAATCCCTCTGAGGCGAGGATCAGTTACTCTCATCTGTGTAAAACCAAACTAATAAAAAGTTCAACCAGTCAGAGATGTGCTGCGTGTGCAGAGACAGAACCAGTGAAATGAGAGAAAACTTGCCCGGGGACTAAAACCCAGATATGATGGACGACCTGCTGTTAGGATTAACCGTGACAACTTCACCCAATTACTGAGCCGCCGCTGCCGCTTCAGCTGCTCCCGGGGGGCTTCACGTGCCCCCTGTGTCAGCATGGAGTCAGCAAACAGCCACTAACGGTCTGATAGGAGCTGATCAGTCCCTGGTGGGTCCATGAAGCAGCTCGTTAAATCACTTCAACCTGACCAGAAACAGGCCTGTTTCTGAGCGCTGACTCTCCTTCATCTGTTTACAGCTTTAACAGACAGAAGACACGGTTTCTGCTCGCGTGACTTGATTTGTTTGAAAAACACGAGGAGTCCAATCCTTCTGCTGTCGAGCAGCACTAATGTTGTGAAGTTATATAACAGACCTTTGAGTCACGGTGGGATCTGGTGTCTGCCTCGGCTCTGTGGGGGTTACATCGAACAACTGGGCCACAAAATGAACCTGCAGCAGTCTGGGTGATAATCCATTTCAAACAGTCTCCTGTCTGCAGACGGTCCCRTGGATACATGAAAAGAATCGCTTTGGTAGAAAACAGGAGCTCCTCGTTACAAACGGGTCAATATCAGAGAGAAGAATCAACTCTTCCTGCATTCAGACACAAATAAAACCACAGAGAACCATTTATTTACATCAAACTGACCCGTCCAAGGGCAGAACTGGAGGAAGGTTAACAAAGATGAAACCACACTCTTATCCTAAATTTCTCTTACTTTTGTTCGTACAAAGGGTTCGTACGAACATGTCACATCAGATTCAACAAACTCTTCTATCTTCAGGAAAAGTGCGTAAATGAGCTGCGTAAACTGATGAATSAGGTGCACGAGGACAGGAGATTAGCATAATTACCACCCTAAAAACACCATATAAGGTAACATTTCCTGCCCCACATACCAGTAAGTGTCCATTCATAAAAGACATCACAAAGTAAAAAGAAGAACTTTATGAGTTTGAAGATTGAAGTCCTGCTCTCAGAGATCCAGAAAGAAAATCTGTCATTTTCAGCAGCGTCAGCTGTGGAATTAAAGGAGCTGCTGAAGCCGAGGAATGAAATGACTGTTGTTAATGTTGTGTCTCCTGTGGGTCGTAGTCACAAAAATAAAAATCTAAATCATATTTATCTCTCTCTGTAGTCCTGCTCCGGTTTTTCTTTGGTCAAATATTTTAAAGGGATCCACGATTAGTTGTAACATTACACATTATTTGATAAACATTTATTTTAACCAAGTGTGGGCAATCCTGATCCTCGAGGGCCGCAGTCCTGCATGTCTTAGATATTTCCCTGCTCCAACTCACCTGATTCAGTCCCTGAATTACCTCTTCATGTTCTGCTGTATGGAGGACCGACACTGACATAATTAGAAATAAGAGCAGAAACATATAATTG